ACGAGAGTGTCTAGTGTTTATACGATCCCATGAACTCATCCTAGGGACGATGCGTAGAAGTCAGACTGCTCTGTCTGTCTGTCCCACCGAGGTTAGTCTACTGAGTTACTGAAAGCTGCCACAGTTGCTTGGGCATGACGTGAAAAATGGGGACTTGGCGATTTTTATAAGCATTTCTTTGTCTAGAATTTCAGAGGGGTTGACAGGATCACACTTACAAGTCTGGATTCAAACATGTCTGCCCTAGGGACACAGTCTTACACTGACATCTCCAGAAGCCGGTGCTTAACCAAGTGTGGACCAGAAATGAAAACACTGTCCCAGAAGGGCAGTGTTCTCAGGGCTTGGGATCAGCCAGGGAGAGAGTGTGATGGAAAAGGGGAATAGCCGTGAGAGTTTCCCCCAAACAATAAAGCTCATTTCTTTATTTGACTTTAAATATCAGGCTGCCCGGAACATCAAGGACAAACTGCTAGAGCCAGTTGCTGCTACCAGCGGCTTTGTTTTGTATTTTGACCTCAGGGACCGACTCCAAGGAAGCTCTTTTTTCCTATTCAGGAACTGAAGTTGTGACGCTGATTTTATAGACTCATTTTCATCTGTGAAAATCCAGGGTTCTGAACCCTGACTGAAATCTGAGTGGCAGCAGTGGGTCATGATCCCCTGACCCCAGGCTGTCTATTTACATTGAGAGAATCTCTTGCCTTCCATAAGAGATTGGAATGCCACAGATGTCACACCAGGATTGCTTCCAACTTCAAAGCCAACGGTGACTGGGGCTCGCCTTCCACCCGGAAAGTAAAGCTTTGCAAAACACGAAGCATCCATCTCCTTTATGTTCCCTCTCTTCCTTTCTTACTTTTGGCAGAGAGTCTTCTTCAGTTTACCCTTTACTCTCGCCATTATGAAAATACTCTTTAATCATTATTTTTGTGTATGTTGTGTGTGTGTGTCTGAGTGTGTGAGAGTGTGGGTACGAGTGTGCTGTGGCCCACACGTGGAGATGAGAGGTCAACCCTGAGTGCCAGTTTTCACTTTCTGCCTTCCTTGAGGCGAGGTCATTTGCTCTTTATTGCTGCACAGCGCAGGGTAGCTGGTCCATGAACCTCCAGAGGGTCTCATTTCTCCACCTCCCATCATGCCATGGGAGTGCTCAGGCTGCAGATGCAGGCTACCACATGGCGTTAGGTGAGATCTTGGACTCTGAACTCAGGTCCTCAGACTTGTGCAGAAAGCGCTTGACCCGCGGAGCCAGCTCCTTAGCCTGTGAGGTTACTCTCCCTTCTAGTGTCCCTCTCTCTATCACTTTAGAATGTATTGCCTATTAGCACATCATGTGACACTGGGGCCACATTTGAGCTGTCCCCCGAACTATGTTTTAAACACTTTTTTTTTTTAAAAAAAAAAACAGATTCTTGAATGTTTATTGATGTTTAAAGAAATAGATTAGGATTCAGAAATTCATCTCCCCAGAGAAACTAAGGAAGTCTGTGTTTATATTCTTATTAGTGAAAGAGTAATGAGACAATGGAGACAGGGTAGAGAAGACAAAGATAATACGCGGTTCATTCTTCTGTTAGAGGATGCAAATTCTTGTCCCGATACACCTCATACTAGCTATGTGACTTTGAGAAATTCAATTAATCGTCCTTGAGTTTTGCGGTGGTTTGAATAGGAATGGCCCCCATAGACTCATGTGTTTGAATGCTTGACCTATAGGGAGTGACATTATTAGGAGGTATGGCCTTGTTGGAGGAAGTGTGTTAGTGTGGAGGCGGCTTTTGAAGTCTTACGTGCTCAAGTCAGGCCTAGTTTGACAGTCTCAGTCTCCTGCTGCCTGTGGATCAAAACGTAGAACTCTCAGCTCTTGCTCCAGCGCCATATCTGCCTGCATGCCACCGTGATTCTCGAAATGATGACAATGGACTAACCCTCTAAAACTATAAGCCAGCCCCAGTTAAATGTTTTCCTTTAAAAGAGTTTCCGTGGTCATGGTGTCTCTTCACGGCAATATAAACCCTAACTAAGACAAGTTTCAACTTTGTTTTAAAAGTAATACCAGTACATAGCTTTCCTAACTTATTGACTAGCAAAATAGGCTAATGCCTTACTAAAATTTAAGATGCTGTTTTGGTCAGGTGAAGCTAGGTTGTGCTGTAGTAACAAACATCCCCAACATCTCTTTTGTTTAAAGTAGTGAAAATTTATATTTTGCTTGCGGTACGTGTCTAAAATTTTTGGTTTCATAGCTGGGCTCTTTTCATTGAAATTTCTCAGAGATCCAAGTTGATAAAATCTTGCCTTCTTGTATCATGTCCTTACTTGCACAACCATCATGTGGTCTCATGTCTACTGAGGCAGAGAAGGACACTCAGATTTGGACAGACAATGACATGTTAGTTAGAAAGGGCAGTGTTTCTGATAAAATCTCATTGCCCTAAACCAGTTACATGGTCTTAACTAACTTTAGAGGATGTAGAAGTACCATTCTTCATGAATCTCATGAGCTTTAGTGACATCTGGCATAAGTGGTATATTCATTCAGTGGAATACCATTGATTCTAAGACGTAAGTTCCATATTCGTATTTCTGAAACTGAGATGGATTTTTCAAAATGACCGGTCTTCTCCCTTTCCTCAACATTGGATCTCAGTTCTGAGATGTATTTTGAGGCTAAAAAATGCCTATAAAGCTTCACAAGACCATAGTGTTCCTCAATGCCAATGAGAGCATTTCTTTTCCTCTGTTCAATAATTCTCTCAGGGGTCCAGAGGGTCAAGACAAATGCTGATTTGTGATTCAGCAATTCCACAGCTGCTGCTGAAGATCCTTGCTTTGGGGAATGATGTTTTCTTTTCATACATCCCTCCTACCTTCTAGGTCATTGTCCAGAGACAGCAGATATTTCTTTTTCTCTCAATTCTGCTTTCTCTTAATAATCTATAAGCTTTTATAGTGGTCGCTTCAGTCATCCATTTGCTCAAGTCATGCTGTCTGATCAGAGGAGAGATGGAGGGTTGGGGACATCAGGAGATGGCTAGAATAAAGGAAGGACTGAAAGCCAGAGTGAAGTCATCTGAAGGACAAGGCAGGAAAAAGAAAGGCATATTCCCCAGTTCTCTTCCTTTCTGCATGGGGCTCCTGGGCTCCAGATCATGTAGTACAGTGCCCGTTTTGTGTTGCCACGAATGACATGTTATTTGGCAAGAAGGACAAGATCGACCTTCCACACTATTCTCATTTGCACCCCGGGCAGCCTTTTATGTTTAATTTGGCATTAAAATCCTCTAATTACAGCCAAGATAATGACCTTTAAGGAAATCAGTGACTGAGTAAATGCATGCCCCTTTTTGGGAGCATCCTGTTAACACAGTATGGTAGACAAAGCTCACTGGCATCCTTGATTGCTTTGACATCACCTGGAGCAGACCCAGGGGCCGCACAGCCATCCACTCTCAGGCCATGACTGCTGCCAGAGAGCCAACAGTCGTCTTGCATAGAGCCCTCCTTTATTGAGCTCATGTTTCCTGGGCCTTAACTTTTTGTAAAAAATTTATCCTCTCTAGCCTTTCCTATCAACTGTTCAGCCCTTGCTTGTTTTTTTTTTTTTTGAATGCTTCAAATATTATGATATTTGTGGGCCACTGTCAGGTCCTGCCTGACATATCGAACAGTCCAGAACAAGGGAGTGAGGATTGAGAAAAAAATAGATAGGAAAAAACAGGCATAAAAAAAAAAAGACAGAGACACAGGATAACTTTGGGAGGGCTCTCAGTCAATACCTGAGCAGCCCTGAATTTATTTCTCATTTTTTTTTTTTATATAGAAGCAAGAAGGCAAAAAGACTTCCCCCTCTCAAGGACACCATGGTTCAAGGAACAAACAACTCCTTAATTCTCAAGACATCTGGTAGCCATGCCTTTGGTCAAACATCCTGTTATCCGACCTTGAGGAGTAAGACATCTGGTAGCCATGCCTTTGGCCAAACATCCTGTTATCCAGCCTTAATGAGCAAAGGCAAGCTTGAACTCTCTGACCTTGAGTCAAGATGGAATCAAACCATAAACTCGAGTCACTGTGGGCTCCCAAAGGCCATTGTCTATGGTTTCCTGGTTGACATATTGTCTATGTGTCATCAATTTTCTCTCTGTCTCACATGCCCCATGCATCTCTGAATACTTAGATCTCTGTCTATGCTATAACCTTCTTTCTAGCCTGGCCCTCCTGCTTGCTCTTTTTCGCTTGCTGTTGATCACGTGGTGTGCTTTGGTTCCTTCCTTCTGTAGCTCCCAGAGTCTGGAAGGTCCATTAAACTCACTTGTGGCTTTCTTGTAGGGTAGGTGAGCACTTCTGAGCACTACCTCCTAGGCTGTCACCACCAATATACTGCTGCTTCTCTCCCAGTACAGACAGTCCTAATGGGGTTCTGTTACCAGCAGGCCTCCCGAGCCCCTGGTTCTGTTTGTGGTTTTCCTCCCATTTTCCAACCTTAACCCGATTCTGTCTCCTGGGCGAGTGAGTGGTACCACAGCTGGCTTTGGAGTCTAACAGGGGCTCAGAAATTTGTACTCCGTCATCACTAACTGGCATAGCAAAGCCCAATCAATCGCTCAGCATACATTTCATGCACAATAAACACTATCCTATCATGGCTATAGGAAATGAATAATCAGCGTCAAAATCGCGACACTCAGAGAGCCAAACAGACTTGAGTTTCTTCTATCACAGCTTAACAAATGTGAATTTCCGCCTTTTAACAGATGTTCTTGCCGTTTCTCTGGACTCTCTCTCCACATCATGCTTCTGATGCTGCCAGATGTGGACCTAGCCAACTCCTTGGATGGACAACTGTGAACTGCTGGATCTGAATACAGGGTGGACCTGAGTGCAGATGACAGAATTTAGGAGTACTTGACAGCCACTCCAGTCTAGTCTCTTCGCAGAATACTGGCTTTGCCTGGCTCCAGATGGCTCAGCTTTCTTTGGCTCTGACTATTTTTTAGAGAAAAAAAAAAAAAACACTATTAACAGAGACATGAAGATAACAAGATGCTTGAATGAAAGAGTATGTGCCTTCTTTGGAATAACAAAGGGGTAGGAACATCTGTGTGGCTGGGCTGGACTAGAAGGGATGGGGCACAGAGCCTGAGAAATTTGCAACCAGATGTTTCTTTGCAGGGTGGCAGGGGGAGAGACAAGCGTGTGATTCAGCATTCCCTCCCCCCACCTACCTCTAGGGAATCAGAAGCTGAAGGGAGAGTGAGCAGCAGTTCACAAGTCAGAAAGGAACAGATTATCTTTTCTGGATGTTTCCCTGTACTCAGGCTAGTGAGAGACAGGGTTGGTATGGAGAACTGAAGTACACATGTGATTCCAGATGGTGAGGACGACAGCCTCTCTCACATAGTCCGCCTTTCTGTAGAGCTGTTCAAACAGCAGTCATGCTTGCTGCTTTTACATTTTGTCTTTGCTTAAAATGTATTATTTCCCCCTCCTTCTTCTCCCTCTAGCTCCTCTACCACTCCCTCTACTCTCTCTCAATTTCATATCTGTTTAAAATTATCATTGTTACATGCACATACAGACACACAAAGGAATAAATATACAAACGAACACAACCTGCTGAGCCTGTGTGGTGTTATTTGTACGTGCGTGTTTTTAGAGCGGAACACTTGGTATTGATATTGAATAAGCAGTTAGGGGGCTCATCCCCAGAGAAGACTGATTCTCTCTCTCTCAGCAGTGATTAATTGCCTTCATCTAGAGATGGGCCTCCTGAGACGTTCCCCATCCCCATGGGCATGTCAACTGGTGTTGGGATTGTTTAGGTCTTTTTTAGACAGCCATGCTAGATTTCATGGGTGTTTAGCTTCCATGTGATGTCTAGAAGACATAGTTTTGTGGCAGACTTCCTAATCAGCAGACTCAGCAGGAGATCTTTTATGTATATAGCATATTTATATGTAGTATATATTTTCGGTAAATATAAAATAACAATATAATATAATAATGTATAATAATCCCCCATCTCCTTTTCAAACTTCCTTACTGTTATTTATCTTCCTTCTCCTCCTTTTGTATCTCCAGTTTGTGCCCTTGTCTTTCCAGTTTCCCCCTTCACCCATCCTGCTGTTCTCTTCTCTTGAACTCGCCTCTCCCCAGCCACAGTATTTTTCCTTTCCTGGCTTCTGTGGTTACTGCAGGTCATATACTCAGATCTGAATATTTGGACCAGGAATCACTGATGAGTGAGAACTCACAGCATTTGTCTTCCTGGGTTTGGGTTGCTTCACTTAATATAATATATACTAGGCCCATCCATTAATTTTCAAATTTCATTTTTTTTTCTCCACAGCTGAATAATATCCCATAGAGTAAATGCATCACATTTTCATTATTCATTCATCAGCCTGAAGGACATTTAGGTTGTTTCCATTTCCTAGCAATTGTGAATAGAGCAGCTGTGAACATTAGCAAGTATCTATGGAGTACGATGTTGAGTCCTTGGAGCATGTGCTGAGGAGTGGTAGATCTGGGTCATATGGAAGGTTTATTTTTCGCTTTTTGAGTATTCTCCACACTGATTTCCAGAGTGTCTGCTCCTGTTTGAAATCCCACCAGCAATGAATGAAGGTTTCTCTTTCCCAAATCATTGCCAGCATTTTTTTTTGTCAACATTTTGTTGATCTTAGCCATTTTGACTGCGATAAGATGAAATCTCAAAGTAGTTTTAGTGTTTCACTAATTTCTAAGGACGATGAACACCTTTGGAGATATTTCTTGGTCATTTCTATTTCTTCTTCTGATTACTCTGTTCAGATCTACAGCCCATACTTTAATTGGATTTTTTTTTAGATTTGTTTCATTTTCTCCGAGGGGAGCTGGAAATAAACTAGGGGTGAAACTCCAAGATGAACTAACCAAGAAGAAGAGAGGATCCAGTCGCACAGGGTCTGGAGGTTTGAACTGAAGGAGCTGGTGGTACCAGCCAGAGGGATGAGAGTTGCCCCTCCACCTCTCTCTTTCACCTAATGGCCTACATCTCCTTTATCCCTGGTCATGTGAGTCTGATGAGCTCTTAATCACAAGGAACTTTCAGGCTTGAGCATGGAGCAGCTACAAGATGTGTAATCTTCCACTGTAAGACTCAAATTCCCGGACTCTCCTTTTTGTTTTGTTTCATCTATGGCTATCTTGTTTGCATGAAAGCCTGTGCCAAGTGTGCATGCAGTGCCCACAGAAGTCAGAAAAGATCGTTAGGTCTTCTGGGACTGGAGTGGCAGGTGGTTGTTAGCCAGCATGTGGATGGATGCTGAGAACTAAATCTGGGTTCTCTGCAAAAGTAACAAGTAGTACTCTTAATTGCTGAACCATTTTTTTCCAGCTCCTGAAGTATCTTCTATTTTTTAAATGAATTTTTATTTTTTGAAATGAAAAGATAATGACATCATTTCCTTGCTTCCCCTTTCTCTTTCCAACCCCTCTCAGACACCACCCCCTCTCTCCCTCTCAGATTCATGACCTCGTTATCTTTAACTGTTAGGAACACACACACACACACACACACACACACACACACACACACACACACACACATTCTTAAATTTATAAATTCAACCTGTTCGGTTGCATAGTGTGTATATGAATCATATACTTATGCGTATATGATTCAGGGCTGGCCACTTGGCATTGTATAGCCCGTTATGGGGAGCTCTGCCTTGAGGAAGACCATTTTTCCTGCTCTCAGTCACTGTAGTTGCCTGCCATTCCTGTTTTAATTGCATCATAGTGTGAACTGCACTTGGAATGGACTAGGGAGCATTGCTAATTAGTGCTTTTGTGTGAGTAAACCCCATTCTTTAGCATCCCTTTGATCATCATCATTCATTGATTTTTATTTGTTGTAAACAGAAATTGAACTAAAATAAAGCTGCAATCATTGTGCCCAGAAGAGCCAAGATACCAACAACAGTTAAACCCAAAACCAAAAAAATGGTTTCAATTTGGAGAAAAGTATCACAGATACTGAGATCTGCATAAATTCGGTCTTAATTTCTTGTATTACTTGAGACTTTTGCCAAGTCAAGTTCTTTCTTTAGTTGTTCAGTGAAGTTGGTCAAATCTTGGTAGGACTTCCTGTTCCTGCCTCAACTTGCATAACTTTAGTTGAAGCAGATAAATAAAATTATAGAATTTAAGATAAAAGAGCTTTGATGTGAATCATTTCAGAAGTACAGAAATCCATATCTTTAGCATATAGTAATACAGCTTTGTAGGGTACAATACAGTTTTTCTGTGCATTTATATGTTGTATAATAATCAACTCAGGCTGATATCTGTATTACCCATCATCCCACACCTTTGTCAAGGAATTCTCTTTAACGATCTTTTTATGAAGCTGCATTTGCTGTTATTTATATGAAATCATCTTATGTTTGTCATCTTTCAGGTTGACATCATGGAAATAATTGGCAATTCTCAAATTTTGTTTTAAAAGTAGTAATGTAATTTCTCTTCAAAATGTCAAGTGTGTAGACATTCTGGCTGTATTTCTTGAAAAGGCTTGCCTTCGCCAGGGATTCCCTGTAGACTCTGAAGCACTGAGTGATGATGGGGCATGTCCCCAGGGTGCTACAAGAGCAAAGGAGGCCGAAGTGTCTGCAAAACACACACGAAGAGAAGCTACCTGGAGGAGAAGCCTGGGTTAGGGCCTCACGGTACTCAGTCCCGAGGGTTGAGAAATTGCTTTTTGGATGATATGCCTGTGAAAGTTCCAGGGACTCAAGGGGTTCTATTAACAGTGGGGGCATCAAAACCTTGGCTGCTTGTAGCGTAGCTCTCTGCAATAGTAAATTTGTGTCTGAAAATATCTAGTCTCTGGACTTGATGTTCCTCACTGATTTAAGCCGGGAGAGTAGGCAGTAAATCAGCTTATCAGCATCCTTGGGAAGGACGGCAACCTGGAATGTTAACTTTCCAACTGAAAGTCCTCGAAGTTTCTTTTTGGTTTCATTTATTTTTCCTAAGGAAGGGAATAAAGGAAGAATAAATGCTAGGAATTAAGAACATGTTTTAAAGAGAGTGTATATGCCACAGACCCATTCTTCTCATGTGGGTACTTTCTAATATATCTCTTTGAGTTCCTTTAAAAGTAACACTGTTTGACCTTACCACTTTAAGTGAGCCAAGGGATTTTGTCACTTGGACTGTTGATTATTTTTTTTCTTTTTTGTACCTCTGGACTGTAGGAACTTGGTTGGGAGCATTTATAGGTGATAAGCAGACTTTATTAAGGCACATCGGATTAAGATAATGAGTTTCAGAATTTGTCAACTGTGGGTGTAACAGAAAACGCCTTAGTTTATTTTTAAACTAATGTGGTATTTGGTCAATGGTTAGCCTTTCCCCTATTTAATCGTAAGGCAGTATTTTCTTTCCTTTCAGTAGGGCAGTTTGACACTCCCCCTTTGCCCACAAGACTTGTCTTGAATGTGCAGTATGATCCACGTGCTACCCTGCACCCAGAACAGGTGTTTGGCAATATGTCAAGGGGGTCTGGGACTGACCCAGGGAAAGGTCCTGGAGAGACCCAGGCTGAGGTTCTGTTTCACGCCAACTCTGTGGCCTTGGAGCCAGTGAAAGCACAGAACAGTAGCCTCCTCACTTCTCACCTCCATATGATGGTAAGAGTCTTGAAGAACACAGTTATGATCACATGAGTTCCTGAGTCTGAAGTGCCAGCAAAATGTCTGGCTCATCTGCTACTTTGTGGACATCTGATTGGTCCAATCCAGCAACATTTTCCTGCTGAGCATCTCTGACAACCCAGCTTTTTGAGGTTCCTGATTGACATTGGAGGGAAGAATATTAACATCAGTATGAACAGAGACATCCTGTAACCAGAATCTCAGGTCCCTTTCAGACAAGTAACATACTATCACAGCTCCCATTGGTGGGGAATGCTGTGGGAGACTGAAACACAACTCTGATATCTTCCTTGGACTGATAGGAATTGCAGGGCAATTACAGTGTCAGAACAGTGTCTCCCCAGCAAGGCATTCTGGATCCAACCCCAAGAGAAGCAATCAGCGCAACTTTGGGAGTCTTCCATGGATCTCTCTTAGCAGCAACGACATGAGATTTGATTTGTTTGGACACAGACTAACAGCCTAGCATATAACAGAACTGACTTCCTGATGCTCAGTTTTGTAAGAGTTGTCTTTCTTTTGGACCTTTAAACACTTAATTATTTAAAGACATGAAAACTTTTTTTTTTTTTTAGAAAATTCATCATGATTCTTAAGGCTCTAGTTTTGACCATTTGTTATAATTAGCGGGTAGAATATAATGTCTCTTACAGGGACACAGTGGCAGAGCAATTGTCAAGCTCTATTTCTTATCAAAGGACTCTTGTTGGGATAAAGCATTTGAGGCAGAACAAGTGACATTTTCTCAAACTCATATCAAGGACAGGGATTTCTATGGTGAAGAGAATATTGGCTTTTGGGCGACCACCTGGTCCCAGTTTGGCACTTCTCCTGTTAGCACTGAAAATCTTATATTCTGGGAAATGACTCAGTCCCAGGTAAACAGATGTGGTCTGCTGGGAGTCGTCCTGCTTTAGAAATGGAACACTCAAGCTGTAGTTGGGGCTCATGTCCTTGATGCCAGTCCTTGAGAGGGAGAACTCTGTGAGTTCCAGGATAGTGTGGGTTCTGTAGTGAGACCTTGTTTTAACAACAACAACAACAACAACCAGCGAACATATACAAAACAAACAAAAAACCAAACAGCAACAGCAACAAGCGACGAAAGCTCTTTGTTCTTGGAGTGCTTTTGGTCCTGGATGGTTAGTTATTACGTTGGGCTGGGAGCGTTGAGAACCAACTTCTCACCTGAGCTGAAACGTCTTCAGCGTCAATGCTGTATCCTAGGGCAGCCGACACGGGAACTCTCTTCCCATGCCGTCTCTTCAGGTGATTCTTTTCTTCTGAAAGAACAAGTATTTCACCCACTCTCAAAGGTCGCACAAGTTAATATGGATTTCCAACTAGATAGAGATACTCAGGATGCTTCTAGACCACATCTAGGATGTGCAGGCAGGCAATGCTGATGGACATCAGGTGGCTTGAGTAAGCAAGGGATGTTCTTTCCGGTGTTATAAACTAAACAGGCAAAGTGAGTGTCCCGTGTTTCATGGCTGGGGAAGAAAATGGACTGCCATTTTCTGTTTCCCAACTGGTGAGATGGAATCCTAGGTTATAACATTTTGTATTGAGCCTTATTTATAACTTAGAACACGTATCTCCAGGTCAGTATCCATCATGTGTACAAACTAAGATTTGGGAAGACAGGGAGGGAACCGGGAGTGCTGGTTCTCAGGGCCCGAGGATTGCTCAGTGCGGCTTTATCTTCACAATCAGTCACCATGTGCTGGGCTCTGTGCCCGGAATCCAGAGATAAACAAGACATGGCTCTGTTCTTCAAGGGCGCCTCACCTAGGTGTCAAGTGCTATGGTGGAGCCATATACAGAAGCATGTCTGGGGGCAAAGGAAGAAGTGACTGATTCTACTACGCTGCCTTATGCTAATTTATACCTCAATATCCTACGGGTTCATGCGTATGTGTCCATAGCTTACATGGCTATTATGCCGATGTGCCTGAAGCTGTGATTTTTTTAAATAGTTTTATTTTTGAATACAACAGGGCAGAATGTCATTTCTATAGTTACTATTCAAGGCAAAATAAATAAACATATACAACAAAAATGATTCATGGGAAGATTTGAGTTTTCCTGAAATTCAATATCCAGTTTACTTCCTTGAAGATTTCCACCGCATTAAATGGCATTTCACACCCAAATACTTTATAATCACATTATTTAAAGTCCAGGGCTCTTACTTATTTCTAGCAGATACAGATGACTTCTGTCATTTTGAATTATTATTTTTTTCCTTTTAAATAATAGCGAAAGCATGACTTCAATATGGCATTCCCAGGTAGAATGGAACCCAGCATAGCTTCCTGGTCAGAAGAAGTGTATTAATTTTTCTGATATGAAGTAGGCAAGATGCTAATTTTAACTATTTTACTTTCTGGGATGCTCGAGTTTTGTGTATAACAGTGAGAAGCTCAAGAATTTATAGAGTGATTTCCTTCTATGGTGCACAAGACATCTCATATATCTTGCTGATTTGCTTTGGTAACTTCCTTGAAAGGAGAGGCGGGGGGGTGGGGGTGGGGGAGAGAGGAGGCCTTGCAGTGGCTGGCATAATGAGCATTGCGGATATAAAACCCCGGCATGGCCATGGATGGGTCTGTTGGCGATGTTAGCCTAGGCTCTCTTAGTGGGTTTCCAAACCGGTTTCAGTGTATCACCAGGATTCCTTAGGAGTTCTTCATGGCTCCGAAAACAGCAATGGGAAGTCCAAAGAGCAGCAGGAGTTCTGAGTCCCTCACCCTGGCTCCGCGCAGAGGCACCGCGGCTTCCTATTGGAAATGAAGTAGAGACTATGTTGTTGAATCACCGTTGGATTTAGGTTCCTTCATGAACCTAAAGGTAGCTTTGCCCTCTCACTTTGTCCTCTCCTTTTTCACTCCATTCACAAGCTCCAGAGGAGGAAAGGGAAGAACGGGGGTGCATTCTAGTGAAGGCGAAAGAATATGTGCCCCCTCACAGCAAGGAACTATGGGAGGAAGGCATGGAGGCATGCGTGCCCTGGCTGTCGTCATTGGCTGAAGTCTGGAAAGAGGAGTGGGTTATCAGACTGAGGGAAGATGGGGTTCTGTCCTGTTCTCTATTTGAGACCTGGGTGCTTCACCTACGGCAAGCTGGAACGGCCATTTGGTTAGGCAGCGTGACCTTGGCCCCCTTAGAGAGCAGAAGGCACTTTTAGCTAGGGACCTTGGATGGCAAGTATACTGGAAGGAGCTCTTACAGGAAGGAGTGGTGTGGGCAGTTTGAGTGGCAAGGGTAAGAGGAGGCAGTGCTATCCCCAAACTTTAGATGCACCACGGGGCTGGTGAGACTCAAGGAGGGGTCATGATAGATGGGAGGTCCCTGGGTCTGTTGCAAATAACGTTCTAGGAGCATTGGAAGCCAGCAGAAATGGCGTTGCAGGACTGACCAATAAAACCAACCAACCAACCAACCAACCAACCAACCAACCAACCAACCAACCAACCAACCAAAAAACTCATGTGGATCCAGGCCAGAACCCTACTCAAGAACCTCCACAAAGCCATGGTGAAGTACAGGGCTTCTCTCCTCACCATCCATAGGCTCCCTATGCTTCTGCACTCGAAGAGACCATTTCAGAGAGAACCTTGAGGGAGGAGTAGACCGGGAAACTAAATCGGTCAAACTGAAACTGAGTTTTTGGAATTATAGCACTATTTCTGTCTTTCCTTATTTATTGATCCATTTACCCAGTGTGAAGTGTGTGTGTGTGTGTGTGTGTGTGTGTGTGTGTGTGTGTGTGTGTGTGTGTGTGTAGCCTGATGGTCCAGGGGCTTATAAACATCAGAACCATTATGGGAAATAAAGAAATTATGTCTTCTATTTACTATAATAATGCAGTAAATGATGACCTTTCCCCTTCTACCTTGGCCTTCACTTAGAGTTGCATTTGGAAAAAAAGTGTCATCATCCTCCAAAGTGTTGAAAGTCACTGATGAGACTATCTTTGGGGACATTTTCTCTAAACACATTCATTAGTTGCGTCAAGTGCAAGTTCCACAGGAGAAGAGGAGCTACCTGCTGATTTGCAATCCTGTAGGACCCTTTCCTGACCTTGGATTTGCCCAGTGAAGCTCTCCTTCACTTGCATTTTTGTTCTGTAGTTGACCAATGTGTGTCTGAAGAGATTTTAATTACTTGCTAGCAAAAATTCCATTAAAGGTCTTAAAAGACCTGGAGATTAGGGAACAAATTTAGAAGACTCGCCCAACTAGGAAATCACCCGAGAATGGAACTAAAACTCTTTGTCCCATTCAAGATGCTTTGAATCTGACCTCTTATTTCTCATCGTATTTCGCTCTGTTGTCAACATGACCCCTGAGCTCTAGCAAGGAACGTCTCTCCCCCATGGTCTCCATCTGCGTTCCTAATTCTGTCTCAGTGATACCTTCCAGGTTTAGTTTGCCTCCTCAATGGCTGCCTCTGCTACCTTTGAGCTCTTTGTGGAGGCAGCCCTGGGGAGTGGTTCAGATCCCGACTGTCAGTTACTCTGTCTGTGCAATCAGAAGACTTTGAAGTCCTTACCTTGGTTATCTGACATGTAAAATGGCATTTACCCCTTAGGGTTGGTCTGACTACGGATGTGATGAACGCAGTTTGATTTCTTCAGTGATCCATTTGTTATGCCCACTGCCAACTACGTTTCTTTGTGTGTTAGTGGTGGTCCCCTGCTCTCCTGTTTCCTGACTACTAAATTCTCAGCTTGTTCTGTTTATTTATTAGCACTGCAGTCTCTCAGTGCACACTTTCCCAAATTTTATAGATTGCAGTTACTTTATTTTGTACTACCCGAGGCAGTATTAGCCAAGCTCTAGCCCTTGACACTGTTTTCTCTGAGATTTGGAGCTCCAGGGCTCTGATATAATCTGCAGATTTTCTCTATCTTTGGTCAGGACCTTCAAGGCACATAAAGCAGTCACAGAGTCTTGCTGTTTTCTCATCTATCCTCGGCTTCCATTCTTTGCAGAAAATGCATGCTCTGCCCTCTGAAGAGACATCACTGCATCTCTCAGGACTAAGGAAGAAAGCAAGATAGGAGCTGAGTAATTCTGTCTTCTCTCTGCAACTGAGTTAACGATCTACTTTCTGACACAGATTATGACTGCCCCTTTAATAAACAATGTAAAGAGCCTTTATGGTGTGTCTGTCACATCTTATGAGCTTCCCTAATGCCCTGTGGGTCACTGGACCACTGCATCATGACTGAGCTTCTAGGACTTTCTCTCTCTAGCTCTTATCATTATTACCACTGGTGTGTGTGTGTGTGTGTGTGTGTGTGTGTGTGTGTGTGTGTGTGATAATAACTTTGTGGAGTCATTTTTTTTTTTTTTTTTTTTTTTTTTGCCTAACCTTTACGAGGATTCTAGGGACCGAACTCAGGTTACTGAGCTTGTACAGTATGCACCAAACCTGCTCAGCCGTCTCACTGGCCCAGGTTCTGTTTTATTTGATTCAGGGTTTTCTTTTTGCTTTTTCCTCTTGCCTTCTTCGTTCCTGGAGTCTGTATGTTCAAGCTCTCCCTGAGATGGTCCTGATTTCCAATGCCTTTGGTCCTGCCTAGGATGCTTGGAAAGACAGAACTAAACTGTACCCGGGGATGTGTTTGGTTGTACATTGAACAGTGAGTGCATTGATCAGCTTTAGATTATGCCCATTTTTACCTCTCATCATGGGCTCTAATTACAGTGATTTGAACCTTTCCTTAGGAAAGAGTTGCTGGCCCATGTCTTACTGAAGTCAAGAAGACTTCACAGGGACATGCTTTCCAGTTTGCCACATAGAAATTCAAATAAGCTGCTCCCCAGGGCAGTAAATTTGCCAACACAGGAAGTGTTCAAACTGAGGTGGATGATCCTGTGTTGAGGATATTGGGATCGGTTTTTGGATACTGATAGAAGATTAGAGCCAGAAGGACTTCCTGGTCTGCGGGGAGTTAAACTTTAAGACAATGTCATCAGTCAAAAGGCATGTCTAGGTGACTCTGCCAGAAATCAGGAAAAGCAAGTGTTTGGTGTAGGGTGCACATCGGAGCTTAAAAGTTCAAATTTTCAGTTTTATGCTCATCTCCCTCAAGACTCCAAGGATGTTTCACTGTTAGCCCATGTAAAAAATACTTCCTGTTTTCTCTCACTTCCCTCTCTTTGAACATCAAACTTCATGCTCACACCCTGTCTTAGTTAGGGTTACTATTGCTGTGATGAAACACTATGACAAAAAATCGAGTTGGGGAGGAAAGGGTTTATTTGGCTTACACTTCCATGTTGTAGTACATTGTGGTGATATTGTGTTCCCCAAAATATTGTGCACCCCAATAAACTTATCTGGGGTCAGAGAACAGAACAGCCACTAAATATACAGGGCAGAAAATGGTAGCACTTTTAATCCTTTAATCCTATCACTTGGGAGGCAGAGATCCTCTGGATCTCTGTGAGTTCAAGGCCACACTGGAAACAGCCAGGCATGGTGACTCAAGCCTTAAATCCCAGGAAGTGATGGCAGAAAGCAGAAAGGTATATAAAGTGTGAAAACCAGGAACTAGCTGGTTAAGCTTTTAGGCTTTTGAGCAGCAGTTCAGCTGAGATCTATTTGGATGAGGACTCAGAGGCTTCCAGTCTGAGGAAACAGGATCAGCCGAGGAACTGGCAAGGTGAGGTGGCTGCGGCTTATTCAGTCTCTCTGATCTTCCAGCATTCACCCCAATACCTTGCTCCAGGTTTGTTTAATTAATAAGTTCTTCTAACAATTCATGCTACAGTCCATCATTTAAGGAAGTCATGATAGGAACTCAAACGGCAGAAACCTGGAGGCAGAAGCTGATGCAAAGGTCATGGAGAGGTGCTGCTTACTGGCTTGCTCAGCCTGCTTTCTTAGAGAATCCAGGGCCACCTGCTCAGGGGTGGCCCTGCCCACCATGGACTGGGTCCTTCCACATCAATCACCACTTAAGAAAATAGCTTACATGCCTGCCAATAGCCCGATCTTTCTGCCTCCCGAGTGCTGGGATTAAAGGCATGCACCACCACTGCCCGGCCGATAGCCTGATCTTACTGAGGCATTTTCTCAATCGAGGCTCTTTCCTCTCCAGGGACTCTAGCTTTTATCAAGTTGACATAAAACTAGCCAGCACACATCCCTCTCTCACTTCCATGTCACTAACTCTTGTTTTGAAGTACAGAGAGAGTCTGGCCTGGGTGTCTTGTCAGCATCCTTCACTGTACTGTGGTCTTTGCTTTGTGTTCCTAATTCTTGTTGCATTCCACCGTGCAGCATGACCTTGGTGCTTGGGGACCATGTCTGAGGCCTCTTTGTTCTCATCACAGTGCCTAGTATTAAACAATAAAATGAATGACAACCGTGAGTTTTAGTAGGTCTTACAGTCCTTAACTACATTTCTTTTTTAGTTTTGTCTCTGACCTTTCCTACTTGGGAATAAATCTGAAAGAACTTTGGGAGGAAAGGTAAATGATGTAAGAATAATTGCCAGGGTGTATCGGAGACAAGGAACCACCCAGCATTTCTTTCCTCTTATAGTCAATATTGTGACATGGCAGAATTAAACTGGTCTCTATCTTCAACTCCAAGGAGGAGGTAAGTATTTTAAAACTCAAACAAGTACCTCATGTGGGCTATCATATCTAAGGAAAAAAAATTCAAGACTTGGGGGAGATTAAAAATCACACAGTGTATGCTGAAACTTTCTCTAGTGTCTGTTTAATCAACGAAGTTCCTTTCAAAGGTACTCTTTCACGCT